CCTTGCAGTATGTACTTGACTTTCTCCATCTGACTGATTTCACTTAGCATAATGTTCTCAAGGTCAGTTCACGTAGCTTCAAATGGCAGCATTTGCTTCTTTCTTGGGGCTGAATAATATTCCACCATACCATACATATATATGTGTGTGTGTGTGTGTGTGTGTGTGTGTGTGGCACTTTCTTTATCCATTCATCCACTGATGGGCTATAACTGAAATTGTTTCCTTAACTTGACTATAGTGAATAATCCTGCAGTGAACAGAGGAGTGAAGCTATCTCTTTGATATCCTGTTTTCATTTCCTGTGGATATATACCCAGAGTTAGATTACTGGATCATATGTAGATAGGCTTAAAGGCAGAAAAACATATAATATTAAATTTAAACATAACACTCACTACCTTAATCATTTCTTAATTCAGCCTCCTCTATCTTTTATGTATACAGTTGACTTTTTTTAAATCTAAATATAAGGCTTAGATTTATTCCTGTTACATATTATCTGGTTTGGTTTTTGCCTCCTGTTGGAATCAACCAAAATATTTTCTAATCCTGATTACATCATCCAGCTTTCTGAATTGATTTTGCTTCCTGCTTTAAATCACCTCCAAATTTCATCAGCATCTGTCCTGCTTATTTGCCTAAACTATTGATTATAGCCTAATACTTGGTTTCCTCTGTGTTGGACTCTGGGCACAGTGAGTTTACTGGGAAAACTGTGTGAGTGTAGGAGTTGAGGGATCTAAGCTTTAGTCGGAAAATCAGAGTCTCTGAGGCTGTGTGACCACCACAAGGTACTTCCCTCTGAGGCTGGACTTCAGTATCCTTCCAACTCTAAAAATAATGCTCTGGTCCTTCTGGATGTCTGTCCTGCTTTGTTTTTCCCTACAAGTGACTGCCATCTCCCAAAGCCAGAGCTTGTATAATAGAATGTGTTCAGATTTCTGCAGATCGAGGGACCTGTGATTTCTTAGATTTGGATAGAAGATCCATTTCAGTAGCAGTTTCTTAGTTATTTGGATCAGTTAAACATGCATTCATTCAGCTCCTCCTGCTGCTGCTGCTGCTGCTGCTAAGTCGCATCAGTCGTGTCCGACTCTGTGCGACCCCATAGACGGCAGCCCACCAGGCTCCTCTGCCCATGGGATTTTCCAGGCAAGAGTACTGGAGTGGGGTGCCATTGCCTTCTCTGCATTCAGCTCCTACTATGTGTTAAATGCTGTTAAAGGCTCTCAGAGTACAAAAATGAATAAGAAGAAATAACCCTGGCCTCTAGGAGCTCACAATTTTATGAGGAAAACAGACACACAAAATACTCTAAAATATGTGGTAGGACTTTCCTGGTGACCCAATGGTTTAGAATCTGCCCCAGAGCAACTAAGCCCATGGGCCACAACTACTGAGCCCACGAGCCACAACTAGAGCCTGTGCGCCACGAGAGAAGCCACAGTAGTGAAAAGCCCGCATATCGTCGCTAGAATAGCCCCCGCTCGCCACAGCTAGAGAGAGCCTGTGCACAGCAGCAACCCAGCGCAGCCAAAAATAAATACATTTTTAAAATATCTAGTCGTGTCAGGTATCAATTCAAAATCCAAGTCCTTCTAACCACCTGCCCGGCCGCCCTCCTGTCCTCTGCACAGCCCTCTCTCCCCTGACCCACTGCTTGGTCTCCCTTCCCCCTTGCTTATCCCTACGGCTGATTACCACAGGTTTATTTATTTTTGGTCATGCCACATGACATACAGGATCTTCCCCAACCAGGGATCGAACCTGTGCCCACCGCATTTGGAGCATGGAGTCTTAACCACTGGACCACCAGGGAAGTCCCTGATCACTGTGGGTTTAAGCACTAAAGTCAATTCATGTCACTCCTCTGCTCAAAACCCTCTGATCACTTCCCAGCGTCCTTGGCATGAAAGCCAAAGTCTTCGGCATGACCTGCCTTCCAGAGCCACGTCATCTTGCCCTGGGCCACACCCATCCCCTTCCCTCCAGCCCTACTGGTCTCATCATTGTTCCTTAACAGGCAAGCCTGTTCTTGCCTCACACAGGCCTCAATCCCTCCGTCTAGAATGATCTTCCCAGACCACCCTGATTATGAACAGCCTCTGGCACACTCTTCTCCTGACCATTACTATTGCTTTCCATAGTAATTCTCTCTAAATGAAATTGTGTGTTTGTTTTCTTATTCCTTTTATGTCTCTTCAACTAGAGAAGACGCTCTGTGTGGCCAGGGACTTCATCTGGCTTTCCAGCATGATATTTCAAGTGCCTAGAACAGTGCTTGGTACATAGAGTGTATTTTGTGGAATGAACGAATTCGTTCTTTGGTCATATTTTAAAATTACCCCCTTACAAGGCTACATTTACATGAAAGAATTTTTTTTTTAAATACAGAAGCAATTTTATCTTTAAATCTAGCCTCTGCACACACACTATTTTCAGTCCTTGGGCCCTTCCCATTTTAGCCCCCCTCTCAGATTAGCTTATTTAATCTCAAAATCAGACTGCTATTCAGAGATGTCTTCCTGTCTCACCTATTTCCTCTTTCTCAGAATCCCATACCCCTTAACATCTGCTGTCATCTTGCCAGCCCAACTGCTCTTGAAGATGCTTCACAATGAATCATACAGGCAAGGGCCAAGCTTATCCATCATTTAGAGCAGAGCAGAGGGAAGGGGGCTTCAGTTAAAGCTCCAAAGGATTCTCCTGGACCTCATTCATTCATCTATCTGGTGCTTCCTGAGCCTCTGACCAGTGTTAGAAACTACAGAGGTCTTTGAGGACAAAAGTGGTGTCATCATTCTGGAATTCATAGACCAGAGGGAGAGAGAAGCATGCAGACAAGAAAAGGAGTTCCATGACATGTGCCATAGGGCTGGTAGAGAGGGGAGGGGGACCAACTTTGTAAAAGGGAACAGTGCATAGAGAGATGGAAATGGGAGAGGTGTGGCATGTTTGGACATGTGGATCTTTCCATGTGACTGGAGCACAGGGTACCTGGGAGGGAGGAAGATGAGATCATGAGAGGCGGAAGACAGAGCAGAGACGGTAGGCAGAAACCAGATCATATGGGGAATTATTTGTTATACTAAGAAATTTGGACTTCATTCCAAAGCTATTGAGGAACCAATGGAAAGCAGAATTTTTTTTTTAATTAAAAATAACTTTGTTGGTACAAAGTGATAACCATCATCTGAGCCTTCAGCGAGTCATAGTATAATAGTAACATCAAAGATTGTTGGATTGTTGATCACAGATCACCATGACAAATATAATAATAATGACAAAGTTTCAAATATGTGGAGGATTACCAGAATGTGATAAGCCTGAATATACATTATTACATAATGTCATTGTATTTAGGTTTTCTTTTTTCCTCTAGTAAGTTTTGTCTTCCCAATACTAAATGATTATCATTCTTACTTTCTGGAGAATTTCTTTTATTATTTAAGTTTCATTCTGCCATTTTATTAAGGGCTGACCAAGCCAAAGCCAGATGTGAACCCTTTGCATTTGTGGCAAATTTGTTGTTGAGGAAAGAGTTCACAATTGTGCTCAATTCACTTTACGTAGAGAGAAAGCAGAATTTTCTGATTGAAAGGTCTGAATTCATTCACATGTTCATTTATTCATTCATTCAACCAATATAATATTTTTAAAAAAATTTTAAATTTTATTTATTTATTATTGGCTGTATGCAGGATCTTTATTGTGCCTCAGGCTTAGTTATCCCATGCATGTGGGATCCCCGACCAGTGGTTGAACCCACATTGCCTGCTTGGTAAGGCAGATTCTCAACCACTGGATGACCAGGGAAATCCCAACCAATATGATTTGAACTCCTGTTATGTACTAAGCCCAGTGCTAGGCTCTGGGTGTGTGGCATTTAATATCATTTTCTTGACATTATAGAGCCAGTTATCCATGGGGCACAAAGGAAGATTGTTTGGCAGCTCCTGCCCTGAGGAGGTATATAAATAGGAAACTTAATTTTAGCAAAGAATGGAAGCATTTCTCCAATAATAGGTATTTGGGTTTTTTTTTCATTTATTTTTATTAGTTGGAGGCTAGTTACTTTACAATATTGTAGTGGTTTTTGTCATACATTGACATGAATCAGCCATGGATTTACATGTATTCCCCATCCTGATCCCCCCTCCCAATAGGTATATGTTTAAGCAAATTTTGTTATGTCCATAAATGGAATATTATGTAGTCATTAAAAATGATCTTTGCAAGCATAGGAGAAAGATTTATGATGTTCCTTAATGGTGTCAGAGAAAGATTTATGATACTCACTAGAAAAAGCAGAGTAAAAATCTGTACAGAGTGTTACATATCAATTAGGAAAAGCAAGCATAAAAAAGATCATGAAACATACAAAAATATTCATTGCAGCTCTTTGCAAATTGATTTTTTCTGCTTTTTCTATATCAACAAGCTTTTTCTATTAAGCACACAATTTTTCAACCCAACATTTACTATAAAGGGAAAAAGATGAATAAAACAAAGAATGAAAGTTGGGGGAGCAGGTGGTAGAAACAGGGGTGACAGTCATCTACCTGACATGATTTAGATGCCATCAACCCTGGAGGGCTGAGATAGTGTAGGGACTTCTTACCTTCGGGCAGTTCCTTTAGGATCCACAGCTGGTCATCCCTTGCTTTTTCAGAAAGCCTGTGTCAGAACTTCTGTCTGAGGACATCTGGCAGAAGCACTCTGATATGGCAAATTCTAATCCCAGTTAGATTCTAGATGACCTTGGACAAATCAGTCTCCCCTTGGGAGTTACTTACCTTCTTGAAGAAAATTTTTCGAAGACTGTCCCAGGAAATAGAATAAACAGAAAGAGTCTGGCCACAGGGGAGGCAAGTGTACATTTTCAAAATAAAGAGAAGCTCATCCTGATATCCTATTTCCCTTTAACTTTCAGTCTCTTCCAATCCTGCTAGCTATTAATATTTTCTTTCTTTCTTTTTTTTTTTTATCTTTTTCAGGAAATGATCGAAATGGCTTAGATTTCAACAGGCAGGTAAGGACATTCAGAAGAAAAATTTATTCTATAAATTTTAGGAGTCATTCATACAATGTCAAGTGTGGGGACACAAAGAAGATTAAGAGAAGTTCAAGGGTGTTTATTCATAGACTCATCGCTCTCAGGATTGGTAGGGGTATTTCAAGAGCTTTTGCAACCCCCATCTCCTGAATTGGCAGGCGAATTCTTTACCACTAAGCCACCTGGGAAGCAGACAGAAGGGTAGGCTTCAGTTAAAGACACATCTAGGTAATCTACGAGGAAGGACTTGCAACCAATGAGCTTTATCAAACACTGGAAGAGCTACCAAGGGAAGGAGGCTGTAGAATAACCATCTTTCTCAACATCTTTGAAAACAAGACAAGGACTTCCCTGGTGCCTAAGATCCAGTGCCTAGGACTCTGAGTACCCAATGCAGGAGTCCCAGGTTCCATCCCTGGTCAGGGAACAAGATCTCACATGCTGCAACTAAAGATCTTCAACTAAGATCCTGTGTGCCCCAGCTAAGCCCCGGCTCAGTCAAATAAATATTTATTAAAATAAAAAAAAAGATGGGACAGTTTCTCATCTAAGGGATACTTTGCCCAGGTGTGCTTCCAGGGCAGGAGGATGGAGGATATGCCTGAGGATTCTCTAACCCTGAAGGAGCCCTCTGTGGGCTGGGGTGTGGCCTGTTTCCTGTTCTTTCTGAGCATCCCGGCCCAGGGTACACCTCTCACGGTCCCTTGGATGAGATGCGCAGGGAGTAGCCCATCCATACCAAGACATGGTGGCACCAGCCCAGCCTGGAGGTGGCCCGCTCCACAGGCCCAGTGGGTTTGGCTGCCTGTGTGATCTTTTTGAAGCTGGGGAAAACCTTGCACTTAGGACAAGGCTGAGGGCAGCCCCTCTGGGCCCAGCAGCCTACCGAGAGGCCCCTGATCCTTTGAACTTCTTTAGGGATGAGGTTTCCTCACCAGCTGGGAGAAAGTTTCCTGGTTCCTGTCAGGGACAGACCTCACTGGAGTTTGCTTCTTTTGGATGAGCCTCATCAGGGCGGAGAGGAGGGCAATCCCACCCTCCCCTGGGAAGGGTTTTTGCATTTCTCATTACTGAGAAGCACAGACACAAGAGATTTTTTCCTTTTTTTTTTTTTTCTTTCAGTGCACAGGCTTCTCTATTTGTGTTACGCAGGCTCCAGAGCATATGGGCTCAGTAGTTGTAGCATGAGGGTTAGTTGCTCCATGTGGGATCTTAGTTCCCCAACCAGGTATCGAACCCACATCCCCTGCATTGCAACGTGGATTCTTAATCACTGGACCACCAGAGATGTCCCACAAGAGACCTTTTCTTTAAAGGGGTGGGAATTTTGGAGTAAGAGAGGCTCTGCTGGTCACGCTCCTTTACATACTTAGACTGGCGCTCGCCTCTGTGCACAAACACACACATCCACGCCCTCCCTAAGAATCCACCTGGCTCCCTCTCATTCTGCCTTTCAGATGCCATCAGATACCAGCACCCACACCCTCACATTCACACCAGCTCACCTGTGGAGCTGCAGGTGGGCACTAGAATTTCTCAGGTCCCTAAATTGACAGTGATACCCTAGAGCCTCATGACAAGGGAAGCCAACATTTGCAGATCCTCAGGCAGTGGGCAAGGTGCTTCTGGCACTTTATCTCATTTGATCCTCACTATTCTCACCTTACACAGGCAAGAAAATCGCTTCCCAGGCAGCCCCACCTGATTTGGGGAAGGGTTTGAGAGATTAAGTAATTTGCCGAAGGTCAGGCACATTGGTTAACTGGCAGAGCCAGGGCTCGAACCCACATCTCTTTGACTCCCAAGCTCATTTTTCCCATGATGCCTTGCAGCACCCTCCTCCGCAGTCCTTCAAGTCCCCTCTCCCTGAAAATGCACACCATCCTTAGGGAGAGGCCTGGGAGCCAGCGGCTGAGTGTGACCTCACCATGACTAACCTGGAGGAAGTGGGAGGTGGAGGGAGCAGGGAGGGGAAGAAAGAGTGTTGTGTAGGAGTCGTCTTGGTGTCTGATACCAAGAAGGGTTGGCAGACGCGGGAAAGCAAAAGCTAAGCTGCCGCCTTTGGTGAAACTCCGGTTGGAAGACCCCAAGCCAGTTGGTGCCACGGGGAATTGCAGCCAGGCTCTGGGTACACTGCCTGCCATCTTGAGGTTGCATGAACAAGGGATGTTTGCTCATCAGGAAGTTTCGTGCCGAGCCTGTTAACTTCCTGATCCCAGGAAAGCAGCCGGAGCCTGTTTGGGATATAATAGCGAGCTGACCCAGAAGCAGGGCCACCCCTCAGTCCCTTGGAAAGATTAACTCAGAGCCGGGAGGCAACAGGACAAGGCCAGATCCCTGGACAGGGAGTCCGAGGTCCTGAGGGCCAGTGCTGTTGTCACCGTACACCCTCGTCTTCTCCTTTCTTGGCCTCAGTGTCCTCATGAGTAAAAGAAAGACGTTTGCATGACATGGTCACCAAAGCCCCTGCAGTCTGTATGTTACGGTCCCATCAATTTTCTCATGCCATCTTCTGTTTGGTTATGCTTCCACATTCCTTTCATGTTTTTCTTTGAAGAGAAACAGGGAAGAGAGTGTCCATTTCTTTACCCCGAGCTGTAGAGAGTGAGGAGAAAATGTCACATGAAATCTTTCCAGTCTTTATGATCTCATGTGATCCAGAGGAAAGAATCTTTTTGAAATTTAAGGGGCAGAGACAGAAGGACCCAGCAGGCTGGATCTGGGGCTAACCATTCATTCTTTGAATACTAATCATTCCTAAGGGCTAGATAGAGGGTGTCATTTGTAAGATGATAAATTGCCAATGGACTCTGTAGTGAATTCTGTTAAGACAGAAGAGCTCTGAGCTCTGAGACATTGCACAAGGATGTCACCATAGAGATGGTGTCCAAAGCGGGTGACAAGGGAAGAGTAAGGGATTTGACTGGCAGAGAGGAGTAACAAGAATATTCTTGTTGCTGTGAAAGTAACGTCTCACAAAGTAAAAGGAAACTATGTGAAGGTCAACATGGGATGTGATGGTGGAAGATGAGGCTGAACAGATTGTATAGAACTTTGAATGTCCAGCAAAGAAGTCTGGATCTATCCTGTGGACAGTAGGGAGCCACTGGGCTTTTTCAAACAAAACTAGTTTCACTTAATGGAAGAGTATTAGAAGGGTATGAAAGAAATATCAATAACCTCAGATATGCAGATGACACCACACTTATGGCAGAAAGTGAAGAGGAGCTAAAAAGCCTCGATGAAAGTGAAAGAGGAGAGTGAAAAAGTTGGCTTAAAGCTCAACATTCAGAAAACTAAGATCATGGCATCTGGTCCCATCACTTCATGGTTGGTGATGGACAGGGAGGCCTGGCGTGCTGCGATTCATGGGGTCGCAAAGAGTCGGACACGACTGAGCGACTGAACTGAACTGAACTGACTGATGGGTAAGGAGGGAGGAAAGATGAGTGGACTGATGTGAGAGAGGCCAATGAGATGCTGTTGAGGTAGGAGGAAGTGGGCAATGCCAAGGAGAGGGATTAAGCACAGACATAGAGCTAGATGGCCTGCATTTGAGTCCTGGGCTTTGCACTGCTTGGAATTGTGACCTTGTACAAGTTCTTCAACTTCTGTATTTCCCTGGGGAGAATACTGGTACCTATCTCACAGGACTGTTGTGAGTGTGTGTATGTGAGTGTACCTCTTTGACAATGTCTAAAATATATATATATATATATATATATATATATACTATATAGGTATTTGCAATTGTTATTCCTGTGCCAGTAAGCATGAAGAGATTCCAATTTGGGAGATATTTCTGGTATACAATCAGGAGGATTTTGGCAACAAATTGGAATTGGGCAGCGAAGGAAGGGGAAAGGTCTGGCACAATTCTTCTGTTTCTGGCTTGATGCTGAACATTAATGGGGCTGCGATCAGAGATCAAGAGGACAGGAGGTCCAGCCGGTTTGTCCAGATGATAGGAAGAGGAAGAAGGGCAGATAATGGTCTATAGGTGCTCAACACATGATGAGAAACTCAGATCTAGAGCCAGCAGACAGGTCAGGATGCATACTGAGGAGTCCCCATTGAACCATGTTAATCCTAGTGATGGGAAGGAGTGAGGTCACCTGGGGAGGGGGTGAAGACTGGGATAAGAATGCAGAGAAGACCTGGAGAAGAGGAACATGTCAGGGACAGGCTGATGAACAGGTACCCATAGATGAGACTAAGAAGGAGTGGTAAAAGGGACGAATGTAGAACCACACCCACAAAGGAGAGATTTTCATGAAAGCGGGGACAACAGATAGTGTCAGAGTGCACAGAGATGTTGCAGAGCCCCAACGGAGAAGTGGCATGGTCTGGCAGTGAGGTGAACAGTGCTGGTCTCATCATGGCATCGTGATGAGAACAGATGCCAGGTTGCTATAGGGTGCGGGGGGAGGGGGGCGTGGGAGGGGGGCGGGAGGAGGGGTTAGGAAATGATGGAGATGAGGACTACAGAATTCCCTTCCAAGGAGTGGGATGATGAAGAGATGGAGATGTTGGCCAAAGATGGAGACAGTGTGAAGAGAAGGTCTGGGGTGATGAGGGAGGCTTTGGTGGGCTGCGGGCCTGGGGAGAGATAGGAGATGCAGTAGAGGAGACAGAAAAGTGAGAACATGGATGGAGGATTTAGCCTAGAAGAGGAAGGAGGGAGGGAGGGAGGGCTAAGTGCCCCGTCGGTGAGTTCAGGAGCCTTTGGGACAGCCTTCCAGTCACGGAGTTTCTCCATTTCCACTTCCTGCTCTTTGGACCAGCAGCTAACTTCAGAAGAACATTAGGAAGTATTATTGACTCACAGGGTTTAGAGCGCCCAATAAGCCTGGTGCTGCTCAATGCTGATGGCTTCTGGGCCCCTCATCATTCCAGAGCCATGGGTGTCCATCAGAACTATCAGCACGGCATCTCCACCTGTGCTGTGGAATGCTGTCTGGCTAGAAGACTTCGCA